AATTCAAATATGTGAGTCACAGCCACACAAGACCTGTCCAGAACAACTTCCACCTTCCTAGGTGACTTCAGTCTGAAGCCCCACAACCTGCTAACCTCCCAGTCCCATGACTCCCTCCATTCCAATGAACCACCTCCACCTCCACTCCCAGGATTCTACTATCACAGAGAACGGTTCCAGCTCTGAAAGCTTCAATTATAGCCATCAAGCTTATGACCAGAACCTACGGTCCCTTCCCCATCATCCTCTGTGTTCTGGTCACATAATTTTATTCATCTAGTGTAGTCTTCACCACAAGGCTTTGCTAATTAGTATACTAGTTCCTCTCTCCCACTAGACTGTAGAAACTGTGATTTATTTATCTCGGCACTTCCAACAGCAACTAAAGTGTCTAGAACATAGAATACACCTAATAAACATGCGATTGATGAAAGAATTATATGAACATAGAATACACCTAATAAACATGTGATTGATGAAAGAATTATATGACTGTAGAAACTGGTACCAAACTGATGGTTTCAGCTGAATCTTTATTGACAATCAGCTTTCCTTTTATGAATTCTTGGTCGGTGCCTCTCCATTGCTCATGGTGTTATTCCTAAACCTGTTCACTATGTTAAGCTCCACATTTGTCTCTAGCTCTTCATTTTAGCAGAGGAAATGGAGCCCCTAAAAGATACCTTCCTTGATGTCCTGCTCGTGAGAGGAAGAGGTGTCCTTCATCCTGTCCAAGACTTATCCCTCACCTGGGCTCCAGATCCTATTCCCCAATTCCATCTCCATAATCTTACTCCATCTTCTACCCTTCTTTCCCCTGTCCTTTAAACCTCTTGGTCTTTGCTGCTTCCTTCTCCTCACATGAAAATCTACACAAATCTCAGTCATCAAGAAAAATTTTTAAGAACTTTCTTTAGACCCCCAAGACTGTAATACCACACCCATCAGTGTTCCCTTTCAGTCAAGAATACTTACTGTCCTCCAATTTCCTATTTTACTCCTCACCCATGACACTCCTACCTCTGCCCACACTCCAATTCACTACTCTCACCAGTGACTTCCAAATGATCAAATCAAGTCTTCCTTTCCAATCCTTATTTTATGTGATGTCTCTGTGTATTTGATTCTATCTACCCTTATCTATAGTCTTCAGACACTACTGACTTTGGCATTCATTTGTTCAACAAATATTTATGAAGCATCTGCTTCAAGCCAGATATTCTGCTATGTGCTTGGATATGGTGCTTAACGAGAAATAAGGTCTCTACCTCATGGAGCTGGGGGTTTCTAGAAAGAGAGAGAGAGAGAGATGATAAACAAGGAAGTAAAAGAACAGAATATTACCTGTGAAATTCTATGAAGGAAATAAGTATGGTGATGATTAAGAAAAATTGAGGTAGAACTATTAGATGGCATATTTTTAAATGACATGTGAATTACACTTTGAAACATGCAAGTGAGACAACCATGGGAAGAGATGAGGGAGACAACTGCGGGGTCTGTGAGCTTCAGGTGCAATAGCACTGAGTGGGGAAGACCTTGCACGTGTTCAGAGTTGGGGCCAGGCCAGTGCAGCTGGAGCAGGTGGTGTGAGTTAGGCCTGGAGGCGTGTTTGGCAAGCTAGATGAGGGCTAGATGATTAGGCAAGGATTTAGTTCTAGAACGAGGAAAAGGCACTGATGAGTTTAAAGCAAGGAGTGATATGATGTGACTTACATTTTAAAAATACAGCTCAGGCTACTGAGTGAAGAGTGGATGGTATAGGAGCAAAGGAGAAACAGGGAGACCAAATAGAATAAGGTAAAAATGATCACCTGGATTCAGGAAATTAAGTAAAGTATTCAGATCTGAGATGTGCTTTCAAGCGGAGTCAGCGTGCTCAGTCAAGGATTAGATATGGAGATTGAAGGAAAAAGAAGTCAAGGGTGATTCCTAGGTTTTCACTAGAGCGACTGGTGGGATGATGCGACTAACAACTGAGATGGAAAATTCAAAGCATAACTGGTTTGGAAAAGACAGGAGTTCAGTGTTGAACATTAAACAGTTGAAATGACTGTAAGACATTTAAGTAGAGATTCCAAGTAAACATCTGGAGGTACAGATGGGTGGCTCAATGGAGAATTCAGGGCTGGAGGTCTAAATTAAGGAGCTATTCACTTAAAATGGTC